ATAGATGATGGGTAGATAGCTAGATACAGAGACAGAGAGAGAAAGAGAGAAACATCAATGTAAGAGAGAACATTAGTCAGTTGCTTTCCATATGTGCCCTGGCTGGGGATTGAGCATATAAGTATTTGAGCTGAGTCTTTAGAAATTCATAAATATTGAAATTTGAGTCCTGGCTGGCGTAGCTCAGTGGATTGAGTGCGGGCTGCGAACCAAAGTGTCACAGGTTCGATTCCCAGTCAGGGTACATGTCTGGGTTGCAGGCCATGACCCCCAACAATCGCACATTGATATTTCTCTCTCTATATCTCCCTCCCTTTACTCTCTAAAAAATAAATTTAAAAAATCTTTAAAAAAAAGAAAAAGAAATTCACAAATATTGAAATATTAGTAGCTTTTTAAAATTCATATGATAATGGTTTTTTGACTCTTCAATTTAAAACAACACAAAATTTATACTAGCAAGGCCTATTGCAAATATTGTTTTTCTTTATTTATATGGCATGACTTTTATAACATTAAAAAACAGGGAAGATGATAAAATTAATGGATGCCTAAAATGCATCCTATGACCTTTCTTGAGCTGTATGTTCATAATAATATCAAGTCCTTTCCCTTATTCCACCTATTTGTAGCTTTTTCAGCACTATTCTGTATCACCTGTGGTAGCATTTGAAGACAAGAGATGACATATATAAATTTTCCCAAATTTTTTTTTGCTTTGCTTTATCTTAATTTTGTGTTATATTTTATTTCAGATGGTGATGTAATATATTTGTCTTGGATTAAGTTCTATATCCTATTTTTACTTAGAAAATTTCTGCTGTTGCACTTGATTTACTACCCAAGATCAATAATTATTATTCAAAAGCGTATCACTTTAGAAGTCTCTATCTTCTGCCCTGAGAGTTTAGCCACTATGACTGTGTGTAATTCTCCATGTGTAATGTATTCACCTGTACTCAGATTACAGAATGGGCAGTAAGCTTCCTCACCTGGCCACTCTGAGATTTCTCTGAAATCCTGAAGGTTGAACACCCTGAAGATAAAGAATACATATACGTGTGTGTGTGTGTGTAAAATTAGAGTTTCCCAGGGAGAAATTTAAAACTATACACAGCCACAGAGAAAAAAATGAAAATATGAAATAATCTCCAACTATGAATATTCTTGACTATATGCCAAAGTACTGATAGTTAAATTCTTCTTAAAATCTCATATAGAATGGCCTCTGGGTGGAAAGAAAAAAAGGACAAAAATTGCATAATGAGTTTATGAAGTTTCCTTTTTTACTGAAAAATGGAACTTAAGAATATTCAGTTCATGAATTGTCATGGTTTAATAAAGTAAATTTGTAAAAATCTATTTTAATTCCATGTCATTTTTTGTTCTTTCTGGTTGCCGCCATTTACCAATTTCTCTCCCTTTGCTTATGTACTGATCCAAGGCAATGACTATGCTAATAAATTATCTGAATAAAATGCATAGCATTTGACTTACATTATAAAATATGAATGAAAATGAAAAAGAAAACTGCATATATGGGTACAGATTTCTGATTTTACAGGAATATGACATTATCATTATTCATGATGTAGAACCTATAATTTCTAACCTAAGGGTACCAGGTGGATGAAATAAATACACATTCAAAGCATAGTAGGAAACCAGTAAAAAAAATTAAAGCACATTATCTCTATCCTGTCCACTGAAAAAATAAATATTGTTGCATTAATTGAAAAAAAAGTCTATTGAAGATTGAAATTGTGATTACTCAGAAAGATATCCATAATTGATCTTTTATTGAAAACAATGGAGGGGTTGAGCAAAAAGGGACAAAAGGACTCATGGACATGGACAATAGTGTGGTGATTTCTGGGGGAGGCAGGTATAAGGAAAATAAATGTTAATGGAAAAATATAATAAAGATTAAATCAAAAATAAGAAAGAAAAAAGATAAAAAAGAAAGAAAGAAACTTAGTTATCTCTTCAAGTTGAGGATTTGCAATCTTTAAAAGTTTTTATTTTTCTCATTTACACTTGAACAAAAGTTCAAAATTGAAGTGCAAATGTAAAGTTTTGAATTCAAAGTAAATGCCCACTGTCTATTTCTGAGGCACCTACATTTAACTTAACATGTCTAATTTATTGTCATGGTTACACCTAAGATGTTCATACTATTATTTCTTTATTTTAACTCTACATATAAATAGCTATTGTATACTTACTATAAAATATGAGTTTTTATTCCATTCTACTGTTCTGTGTGTTTCACTGAGTCATAAACTCCCAATACAGTATATAATAATGATAATGTCAATATTAAATGTCAGTGTAAAATATAAGCCACATTCACAAGTTTATATTAAGACAAAAATGGAATAAAAAATAAGGCTTTGAATGGGATTGTCCACAGAAAAATAGGAGAGACTTGATATTTTCAGAATATGATGTCTAGCAATTCATGATATTGCATATTTTCCCATTTATTTGAAATTAATGTTATATTTGTTTATTGATATTAAATAAAAACCAATCTATTTTTGTATATCAACTTTAATCTACATTATTCCTTATTAAACTTGCTTATTAACTTACTTATTAATGCATCATATAATAATGCTTATAGGTTAAAGATTTTCTATGTTCCAAACAATAAGAGTTTAATTACTTCTTTTAATAATTATACATTTTATTATCTTTTTGCCTCATTGAAGTAACACCTGAAGAAAGATTTTTTTTTTAAATGGAGAAGGTAGTGGATATTTTTGCTTCATTTTTGATCTGAGAAAGAAATATTTTAAGAATTTATCATTAATAATGTTAAAAATTTTATATATTCTTTATAATATGAATACTCATTTTTATACTCAGTTTTCTATGAGTTTTTATCAAATTAATCAAAGACTTTTCACATATATTCATTAATTATATATTCAATTTTAAAACCTTTTTTTCTACTTTAAGGTGATAAAATATATTGCTTTTTATGCATATGTGTCTACATCTTTTGTTTTTTAGATTGGGCTAATTCTATTGTTCTACTCTCAAGTTTACTGATTCTATCCTCTATATTTTTCTATTGAACCAATTTAGAAGGCTTATTAAAATTTATATTATTGTATTTTTAATTCTTTAATTTTTATTTGGTTATTTAAAAATTTTCTCTATTTGTGAAAATTTTGTAATTTTTTATTTGGTTCAAAAGAGAAGTATTTTCTGTTGAAATGTTTTTATTAATGTGGCTTCAAATTCTTGTCAGATAATTTTACTATGTGATTCATCCAGTTGGTATAATCTTTTTTCATTCAAATTTCAAATGACTTTTCATTCAAATGATTTTCTGATTTTTAAAGTGCCATGTTATTTTATTGTATCCTGGTCATTTTGCTTATGTTAAGAGGCTCTGGCTCTTATTTAAGATTTTTTTCTCTTTTTAATAGGGATTCACTCCTTTTAGCACTCATATACTAACCTACTTCTATGCCTGTAGCTGTGGTTTCATTGCCAGTATAATTCTTAGAGGATCTTTGTTGCTACTTTGGTCAGATTGACTTACCTTGTGTCCCTAGGGCTCCTACTATGCCCTGTTAGTGCTATTTGAGGAGGTGGAAAGAGTTCCACTAAGCATTTAGTTCCCTAGTGCCACTAAGATAAAGGGATGCTTTGCCTAGCAGTGGGTAGTTACTCCCTCTATTGGGTAGAAGCATTTAAAATATCCTTCTTCTGTCCTGTTGCTCTAATCCTGGGGTCCCTAATGAAGTCCTCCCATTTCCCCCCATTGTTTACAGGTGTATTTATTGTTGGGGGGGGTGGCGGGCAGGGAGAGGTGAATCTATGCCATCTTCTTGGAACCAAAAGTTATTATAAATTATTTTGATAGCCAATTCTTTTAAAAATACATACATATATATATATATATATATATATATATATATATATATATATTTTATTTTTAGAGAGAGGGGAAGGGAGAGAGACAGAGAAAGAAACATCAATGTGTGGTTGCCTCTCACACACCCCCTACCAGGGACCTGGCCTGCACCCAGGCATGTGCCCTGACTGGGAATTGAACCAGCAATGCTTTGGCTTGGAGACTGGCACTCAATCCACTGAGCCACACCAGCCAGGGCCTGATAGCCAATTCTTTAATAACTTGAAGCTGACCATCTTTTTTACCTGATTTATATCAAGTTGTGTTCTCATTTCTATTAACTGCTACTTCTCTAATTATCTTAATTTATCTCAGTTTGTGTGAGATTTTTTAAAGTATAAATATATCTTTTCCAGGTAGTTTTGCTTTAAATAAATCATGAGCTTTTTATATTTCTTTTAATATTTTTATACCTGTTTTAGAATATTTCTTTTGAGAAATAGCCATTATTTCAATAGGTAGATTGAGGCCTATTAAATCCATGATATGGAAAATGTTGAGAGTTATTGACAATAATAGTTTTCATTATTATTCTAAGCTTTCAGGGAAAGAAAAACAAAATGTTCAATGGTGTAATGAAAAAATAATACCTATTTTTTGTAAAAGGTTGGAGTAAATTTGGGGGATTTTATTTAAATAAAATTAGAACTCAGGGTAATGTCTGCAGGGTCATTTATTTGTTTATCTCCAAATGTTACAGAATATATGCCCAATAAATATTTATTAAATTAATAAATTTAGTGATTTTAGCACTACATTTTTTCTGTAAACTCCATAATCTTTCATATTTGCCTAGAATAGATCATAAACTCAAGAAAACCTCAATAAATGTGAGTGGAAGAGGTTGATGTGTGTGAACAGGGCACCACAGAATGGAAGAAAGAGGAAGAGCACTGATGGCTACATTTCTGCAATTTTAGATAATTTATTCCTCTGTCTTTCATAAAATTTCTTTTGCCATTAGGAAAAAATCAAAGATGGAAAAGACAACAAATCATTTCAAGGTTTTGCAATTATAAAAATTTTGTGAATGTACTGATATGGTATTATTTCTGCTTTCTGATTTTAGGTTCAAGTTCTTCGAAATGCTGGAGAAGAGGTGACGCTAACAGTGTCTTTTTTAAAAAGAGCACCTGCTTTCCTCAAACTCCCACTTAATGAAGACTGTGCATGTAAGCATTTATGAAGCATAGGGAAAATGCTCATATCATTGCATTTACTTTTTAAATATGATTTCCTGACATTAATTAGTTATTTATTTTTAATATTTGGATTTATTCCCGAACACAAACATTTTTGTTGCAAATTATTTTATTAATTCATATGTAAAGAGAACAGATGTTATTTTTATTACAGAATGAATTCATTACATTTACTGTTATTTTCAAATCTTTAATTGGAGGAGCATATAGACACTGACTTGGCTACTGGACTTGCTAAACAAGCATTTGCACTTAAGCTGCCTAGATGAAGTTGTGAGATTGAAGGAAGCACCAGTATACATAGAAATGTATTAATTTGCATAAGAGCTCCTTAAAAATTTCTCTATCATGTCTATACTATCAAAGAAGAATATATTTTAACTGACGTACAATTTTCATGAAATTAATTGCAAAGGTCTTAAATGACTAGTTGGAACAGTTCTAACAAATTCACATTTGCTTACTCCACATCCTTTAAATCACAGAATCATTCTTGTGTGCCTCTCCCCCATAAATAGCATCATCAGAAACAATTATTGACTTTATATCTTATCATCATATATTATGTTTATTTCTTTTTAAATTTTATTTTATTTTTTATTGTTCAACTACAGTTGTCCCTATTTTCTACTTTGTTCCTTTTAAAACTGTATAGAATGGAATATTACTGTATTTACTCTTCTATGTCTGGCTTCTATTATGTTCAAGCACTTGTTATACATTTCAATAGTTCATTCATTTATTTTGCTGTGTAATATTCCATTATATGAATATATTAAAGCTTTGTAATGCATTATTTTGTTTATAGACAACAGAGTTGTTTCCAGTATTTTGCTATTGTACATTTAACTGCTATGAACATTTTTGTGCAGACATTGAAAGTCTTACAATTTTGTCACAATTGTAAGTATCTAGAAGTAGAACTGCTGAGTCACAGAATAGATGTATAAGTAATTTGTTAACAGACCACCAAGAGTATTCCTAAAATAAGCATATATTTCAAGGCCTCTCACTTCCTACTCCAGCAATTTATGAGAGTTCTGGTTGGGTACATTTATTACAGTATTTGATGGTCAAAGATCTTTCCCATTATATTGAATGTGTAGTGCACTCTTTGTAGTTTTAATTCGTATTTCTCAGAAGACTAATGATGATTAGCTCCTTGTCATATGGAATTTGCATATTTTATTGTTCATTTGCATATCTTATTTTGCAATGTGTCTGCTCAATATTTTTTCCCAGTTTTCTGTTGTCATGTCTTTTTATACTGCACTGCAGGAGTTTAAAAATATAATCTGTATATAAGCCTTTGTCAGCTATATGTGTTACATTTTCTTTTTTCTTTTTTTACATTTTCACCCATCTGTGCATAACTATATTTTTTACATAAAGTTGTCTTAGGTTTGTAGTTTTTAATTTTGATAATGTCTAATTTATCATATTTTGGTCATTTTTGTTGTATATGCTGTCTTTTATGTACCTTCTATGAAAAATAATTGCCTAACCCAAGGTCAAAAAGTTTTTTTCTTATATTTTTCCTATGAGCAATTGACTTTTATAACTCATCTTATATTAATTTCTAGTTGTCTGAAGTACAAATCATGAATTAAGGAATCATTTTCTCATTTTATTAATTTATGCATCTGTTCTTTCAACAAAACCACAGTGATGATTACTGAAACATTATATAAGCATGCATATTTTATTGTGCTTCACTTTACTGGGCTTTGAAGATACAGTATTTTTTACAAACTGAAGTTTTATAGTAACCCTGTGTGGAACAAGTCTACTGGCCCCATTTATCCAACAGCACTTGCTCATTTCCTGTCCCTGTGTCACATTTTGGTAATTTTCACAATATTTTGAATTTATTTATTATGGTGAATAGTGGTCAGTTATCTTTGAAGATACTATTACAATTGTTTTGTAGTGCCACAAACTGTGCCCACATAAGACAGCAAACAATGGGTCAATGATGTTCTTACCACTCTACCCAACTAGCCATTCCCTTACCTCTTTGTCTTTTCTCAAGGATCCCTAGTCCTTGAGACACAAAACTGAAATTAAACAAATTACAATAGCCTGTAAATGTTCAAGAGAAAAGAATAGTCACATATCTCTCATTTTAAATCAAAAGCTAGAGATGACTAAGCTTAGTGAGAAAGGCATGTTGAAAGCAAAGGTAGGTTGAAAGGCCTCCTGTGCCAAACCAGTTAGCCAAGCTGTAAATGCAAAGGAATTTCTTGAAGGAAATTAAAAGTGCTATTTCAGTGACCACCCAAAGGACAAGAATGTGAAACAGCATCATTGCTTATATAAAGAACATTTTAGTTATCTGTGTAGAAGATCAAAGCAGTCACTACATTTCTGTAAACCAAAGTCTAATCCAGAGGAAGCCTCTAGTTTTCTTCTACTCTATGACTAAGAGATGTGAAGAATCTGCAGTGGGGAATGTTTGAAAGTAGCAGAGACTAATTCCTGAAGTTTAAGAAGTTCTCTCCACACAAGAAAAATGTAAGGTGAATTGGAAAGTTATCAAGGAAATCTAGCAGATAATTAATGAAGATAGTTATGCTGAATAAGAGTCTGTCAATGTAGATACAACAACCTTATGTTGGGAGAAGATACCTACTAAGACTTTCATGAGTAGAGAAGAAAAGTCGATGGATGTCTGGTTTCAAAGCTTCAAATGACATGCTGACTCTCTTGTTAGAAGTTAGTAGAGCTGGTATCTATATTTGAAGCCAAAGCTCATTTACCATTAGGGACCTTAAAAATTATATACTAAATCTGCTCTGAATTAGTATATTTAATGGAACAGCAAAGCCTGCATAACAACACATCTGTTTACAAGAGCATTTACCAAGTATTTTAATCCTACTGTTGATATCTACTACATAGAAAGTAAGATTTCTTTAAAAATATCACTGCTCATTGACAATGCACCTGGTCACTGAAGAACTCTCATGGAGATGTACAATGGTATTAATGTTTTCATGCTTGTTAACACAACAGCCATTGTGTAGCTCATGTTTCAGGAATAAATTTGACTCTTAGGTCTTATTACCTAAAAAATACATTTTATAAAGGTATCACTTCCAGAAATAGTGATTATTCTGATGGACCTTGAAAAAGTAAATTGAAAACCTTATGAAAGGGATTCACCATTCTAGATGCCTTGAAGGGCATTCATGATTGCTGGGAATAGACTATCAATATCAACAGGAATTTTGAAGAAGTTGATTCCTACCCTCATGGGTAACTTTGCAGGATTTAAAACTTGAGAGGAGGAAGTAACTGCAGATGTGGTGGAAATAGCAAAAGAACTAGAATTAGAAATAGAGCCTGAAGATGTGACTAAATTGCTACAATCTCATGATAAACCTTTTATGGATGAGGTTGTTCTTCTTTTGGATGACCAAAGAAAGTAGTTTCTTGAGATAGAGCCTACTCCGATGAAGATGCTATGAATATTGTTCAAATGGCAATAAAAGACTTAGAACACTACAAGCAGTGCACTGCAGTGTCAGTGCTTGTGAAGTGTGACAGATACCAACTAGCAGTACCCATCACTTCTGCAGATGCTCGAGATACGAGAGAAATACACACAGACTACTGAGTCCTGTGGAGGAATAGGAATGGCATGGCCACTCTCTCTAGTGGGGAGAGCCCCAAGTTGCCACCTGAGTAGGCTTTTTATTAGGCAGTATTAGGTAGGGGTACATTTACAGTTTGTGGATTATAGTCATTATAGTCTGGCAGGGAAGATCAAACAAGTAGGTATCTTTCAAAGAGTTGACAGAGCTCATGCTGAGTGTGGGGTTTTATCACTTAAAAAGCTACAGGGCTAGTTTTGTTTCCTGCCTGTGCCTTCATGTTCAAGAGCATTCTCAGCAAGCAGGTCTCACAGGATCTTGCATATCCTATGCCTCAGGTCTAATTACCCTGGGGGTCCACCAACTCTGGTCTGGACTGCACCACCCCTGTTATTTCCTCAGGCCTGAGTCAGGCAAAAAGACAAAGGCAGCCAGGAGACTTGGATTTCTCACAGCCAGAACAAGGACTCAGGCTTTGTCAAAGCTAAGGGGGCAGGGGTCGATGTCCACCACCCCCTCATTTCCACAGCCCCCTGAGTCTCTTCCCTGGGGCCTCCACGTGATCCTGCCTGTCTTAGATGATTCCCCCCTTTGGGGATCTTACCCATCATTGGCTAACTGATAAAGCATTGGGGGCCAGGCAAGGAGCAGAAGCAGTGCTTCTGCTAGGGAGATAAGCTTGTCTTCTTAGTGGTTCCTGGTCTGGAGGTCTCTCACTCAGCCTCAGCCAATGGTGGGGGTGGGGGGGGGTTACAGCTTCCTGAGGCCAGGCAGGGTGGACCCCAACAGTGAAGACTGACTCCAGCTTTTAAAGAAGTTTTACTGTGGGTAAATGCTATCAAACAACACTGCAAACTACCAAGGCATTTTTAAGGAAAAGTCAATTGAAGCAGATACTTCATCATCATCATATTTCAAGAATTTGTCATAGCAGTCCCAACCTTCAGCATCCATCACCCTGATAAGTCACCTGCTATCAATACTGAGGCAACACCCTCTACCAGCAAAACAGATTACAACCTGTTAAAAGCTCAGATGATGGTTAGCATTTTCAAACATTAAAATTTTCTTTTAACTAAAGTGTTTTTTAGACACAATGCTATTGCACACTTAATAGACCACAATAGTGTAAACATAACTTCACACGCACTACTTTACTGTGGTGGTTGGAAACTCAACCACAGTATCTCTGTGGTACTCCTATAATGTCTGTAAAAGGTCACCTAGGATGGGCTCCTCAACAGTGCAGTTTATCCAGATCATTTGATTGTTCTAAATCCTTTACATTACTGCATACATTTTAGACATAACTTGTCAAATTCTATTAAAATAAAAGCTATTATGATTTTGAATGGGAGTATATTGAATTTATAG